TTCAAAAAGGACCAACATTGAAATTTACATTGTACACCAGGGTGTACCATGCTCATGGTACACTTGGATCAAAATTGTCATAAAAAAAAAAAAAAATAAATAAAAATAAAAATAGTCGGCTTCCTAAATTTATGCTCCTTAATTGAAAGATTTTTGTTATTTCCTTTCCATAATTTTAGCTTCCCATATCCATAGTTGTTCATAATCAGTCATTGAAAAAATAGAGGATTTTTAGAGAGAATAAAATTTCAAGAGAAAGAAAGAAATTTTTTAGAGAGAAAATGATGGCTCATGGTGAATTTCGTCACGATCTATGATTGTCGATTTGCACTTGATGATCAACAGATTGATGTTTTTGACAAATGATATTTAATGTTAGATTTTGTCACCAAATGAGAAGGTAGTTTTTAATTATTTTTTTCAATTTATATTTCATAATTTTGTTGTTGATGATGATGTTCTTAGATTATTATATTTGTCCATGGATCATTGTGAATGAATTCATCACTGAAAAAAAATGTAATTTTTTTATTTTATTTTATTATTTTAGTTCTTTTTTTTTGTGTTATTTTCAGAGGTTGAAGATGAAGTTCTTTTGGATTGGCATGAATGTCCTCTTTTCAGTTTTTTTTATCCATATTCTTTTTTTTAATTGGAATGAAAACGTTCATTGAGTTTAATTAATATGTTCTTTGGGTCTAAACTATATGTTCTTTATGATCACAAACTATGTTTTTTGAATTTGAACTATATTTTCTTTCATTACAAACTATGTTAATCTTATTGCCTATTTTTTTTCAAAAAAAATCATCTAATTGTGTATATATGTATTTTTTGAAATCGGGATCATAAAGGTTGAAGAAGATGATATACTTTTATTGGGACCTCTTCTATTGATGATTGATTTTCTGATAGATCTAAAGAACATTCGTTATATTAGTTAAGAACATGATAATATTATTTAAAGAACATTATTTATATTTACCCAACAGGTTAAAACAAAATTCAGATAACATTTCACTTTAAGTAATGAACATTGTGTGACAATAAAGGTATATTAAAATTACAATAAAAAAACATGGACATTTAAAAATCATATATTGAACATCATAATAAATACACATGGCCAAGATGAATATTATAACAAAATATAAAAATATATAATTGGTTATTTAGAGTTTTTTTTTTACAAAAAGAAAGAGAACTTACAGAATAAAAAAATATTGTAATTTGAAATTTTGAAAAATTTGAAATTTGAAATTATAGAAAACTAAATATTTTGAAATGATTTGACATTAAATACGTGGTAAAAATCAATTGGTAATTATCATTTATCTTTTTTAAAAACTGTTTCACCAAAATTAGCACATTCTTCATATTTCAATGTTGTGTTCTTTTATAAAGTGATGATGTCTATTACAAATATAAGTTATGTTCTTTACGCTTTTTTTTAAAAAAAAAAAAACTGCTTTGATACGGGTGTACCATGCGCATGTGCACCCGCACACCCGGGTGTCAGTGGCAGACCCAGGAATTTCCGACTGGTGGGTCACAATCGATAATCAAGTATGTAAAAAAAAAAAAATTACCGAACAACCAAATAATAGTACTAAAAAATACATCCAATTATTCAAACAGTACAAAATACAACCAAATGTTCATATAATACTACTTAGCACTATACTCAAGCCAAGTCCAAGTATCAAACCACTTAGCACAAAAGCGACGGTTTTTGCCAAAAATTGAAGTTTGAGGAAATATAAAGTCTTTGGGCTGACAAGGCTTTCTTTGAATGTAAATTCTTCTCACTAAATCTCTATCATCTTTATGGAATTGACTCATCTTTCTCCTCTTTCCTGGATCTTGTGGAAGATTATCAAATTCATGTTCACTTAATCTTTCACCAAAGATTGGGGCATTAGGAGAACATTGGCCTTGTTCATTTTGAGGGGAATTTTGAGTTGAATAATTAGATGGAGATGAATGTTGTTCACTTTGTTGAGGTGGAGATATAGTTTGTTCACTTTGTTGAGGCGGAGATATAGTTTGTTCATTTTGTGTTGGATGTGGAAGAGAAGTTGAAGTAGGATTCTTTTTAGCAAAGAAGCTAGTAATGTTTTGCATTTCATTTGGAGTGCGTTTTCTCTTCATTCTGAAAATTGAATGAATAATCAACTAAATCAAACAATATTCCCCAGAAAAATTATTTACAAAGATCATTAGATCATCCAAATAGAAAATTGACAAAATTACAATCCTAACTAATAATTAACAAGCTTAAAAAATTGACAAGACTAAAATCAACAAACTAATATCTCCACTAATCTATACGACTATACGGAACTTCAAGCCGAATATGCGACTAGCACCACTAAGCTCTAACCAGTCCACACTGTAATCTAATTATAAATTTATAATCTTCCTTACACTAATAGTTAAATAGTCTAATTGTTGTCTAACACAATGTCCGGCAATACCGGCATCACATATTCACAATTTCAAATAATGACATAAACAGTAAAACAGATAAACTAATAAGTTCAATTTAACAGTCAAAACACAATTTACACAAATAATGAAAATTCAATGAACATTCACCGTATATACTAATTTTAAGAGACAAGTAATGCAAATTTGATAAAAAATTCACAAAAAAAAAAAAATTTGATGAACATACCTTGCCGGACTGCCGTGCCGGAGTTACCTTATCATAAGTCTGATTCTAAAGAGAAATATCCTTCAAATGCTTAACATCCTGCCTTTGCCAAGACAATTTCTGGTCAAAAGCCCTACGACTATCAAGATTATGATTCAAATGGAACTTGTTGGTAGCAAGCTCCAATTCATTCAAAACCTCCAATTCACCATACAAATTAGCAGTAGCACCCACATACCTCTCCATCTTCCTAATCATACTATCCATATCCTTAACCAAAAACCCCAAATCTTTGACATTAATCCTACCACTAATAATATCCCCATAAACATGCTCAAAACCAAGCAAGGCTGGCTCAGTACATCTTTTCCCCAACCTAGAGACAACCTCAGCAACCCTATTCAAATCATCTACCCTCTCAGAATAAGCAAGCTCTGAAAGGTAAGAATCATCACAAGAAACCAATTTCTTAACACCCTCTGATTTAATCAATTCATGCTTCAGTTTCGAGATCTCTTCATCAGAGGCTGAGTTATGAAGATGGACCAATTTTGACATAACATTAGCAACCTCAAATGACAAGATACCAATATTAGAGCAACTACTACTACTGCTACTTTTCTTCTTTCTACTACTACTATTACTTGTGCTTGTTGGGTGTAAAAGAAGGGAGTTTTTCAGATTGCTACTTACCTGATTCCCCATTCTCAGTAACCAAGGCTCTGCAACCATTGCTTTACTGGGGTTCTTCTTGTTCTTGTTCTTCTCCTTCTTCTTCAATTGAAAGATCTCAACTTTCAAAGAAAAGAAAATTGGGATCAAGGGCGCATTTTAGCAGAGGGGGGTAAGTTAATTAAATTGTTTCAGAGACAGAGCCGGAGGCGGCAGGCGCTGATTGAGGCGACTAGGCGTCGGCGAGCAGCGGAGCAGCCAGCAGCACAGCCCGCACAGCGAAATAGCGAATTGGCTGAATTAAATTGAAGATTGCGATTGTAGTTTAATAAAATTAACTAATTAGAATGAATTAAATTGAAGATTAGAAATTAACAATAAAAATTACAAACTTACTCTTTGATGAAGAAGTGAAGAACTGGAGTTGCAGATGATTGATGAAGGATTGAAGGGAAGAGGCGAATTGGCAATGGCGAAGAGAAGAACTGAAGAAGGCTAGGGCTTGAAGTCTTGAACTGAATTCGTGTTTGGTTTTTTTGGGGAAAACTGATTTTAATTTTTTTTTTTTTTTAAATAACTTAAAAAAAAATTTTGGGCCTGGTGAGTCACTTGACCCACCAGGTCTAAGCCCAAGTCCGCCACTGCCGGGTGTACCAACCAACAATTGGATCAATATATTGATGGCAATCTGCTTTATACGGAATAACCAATTGAGATGTGAGTTAACATAATGGCCTTGTTTGGCAATTGGTTGTTGGCTGTTACTCTTGGCTTGTTTGACAAGTAGTTTGTATTGGCTTTTTATGTTGGTTGTTTGACTGTTGGCTTTAAAAAAATATGTTTGGTAAAATTGGTTATTAGCGGTTGGCTGTTTGGGACTAAAATTACCTTTAAGGGCATTGATATGTTTTATTATCTTTCTTCTAATAATAATGATTTGAATATATTTTTTTTTATTTTTTTTTTACTTCTACTACCAAGTAGTGTCACTACTACTCCGTATTTTTTTCAAAAATATTTTTTTTCATAATAACCTTTTTTTTTTTTAAATAGGATTATTATATACAACTACTACTAACTAGTATCAATGTTACTTTGTATAATTTTTTCCGTAATAATTTTTCTATTTTGTTAAGTAGGACTATTGTTATTATTATTATTATTATTATTATTATTAGTGATCTTTTAAACTTTTTATCAGATACTTTATTTACTATAAACAATACAACAACAACAATAATAATTAGTGTTAAGGTAAACGACTTAGAAAAGATTTATGATATTTTTCTCACATGTAAATAATGCTTAAAAGAATTTCAATAATACAATCTAAAATGAATAATAGAACATAGGTAGTAACTTAGAAAAAATAAATCATAATTAAGCATGCATATTAATGATCTAATATTGTCTTCTGACTCGCTTTGCTCGTCTAGTTTCCATCAAGCAAGCAGCAATGCTATCACGAACAATTGTCATCTCCCTAATTGACGATTCTTGAACACATTGAGGGACATTACTTTCAATATCCTCAACTCCCTCGGGAGATCATATAAAGTTAGGATCTTTATCCACAAGTCTAAAAGCTGGATCACCAACACTACTTCGTCTAATATAGTTGTGTAATGCAAAGCAAGAGCATATTATTCTGTTTTAATCTTTGAATGAGTATCTAGGCATTTTTATCTAGGATCTTCCATCGGGCTTTAAGAACACCAAATGACAGTTCAATGCAACTTCGTATTGACGAATTAGCACGATTAAAAACTTCTTTGGTACCCCTTGGACTTGCACCTCGAAATTCAAATTGATGGTACCTCGTCTTAGGGTAAGGAGTCAAATACCCCTTTTTTTCCGAATAGCCTTTGTCAACAATATAATATTTACCTAAAAGAAAGTTAATAAAAAAAAATTAGCTTTAACATTCATTAAAAAATTTGGGGCATTAGGAATAATAATGCATAATATCTTCTGGGGGTTTTGGAAACTTGAGTCTTGGATCACCAATTGTATCAAGAAATATTTGCGAATCATGAGCCAAGCCTTCCCATCCCGTCAACACGTATATAAACAACAAATCAAAGTCACATACAGCTAAAATGTTCATAGTTGGTATACCTTTCTTTCCTTTGTAACGCAGTTGGTCTTCTTCGGGGACAATTATTGATATATGTGTACCATCTATAGCTCCAATACAATCCTAAAATGAAACGCTATCATTATATTATTCCACGATAACTTGTAAAATATTTCCATTTTTTTGTTTTAACAAAAGGAAAATTGTATTACCTTGAAATATGGCATGTATCTAGCATCATTTGCTAAATATCGTGGTACCTCCTTAAAACTAGGATCTCTAGGTACAAGTATATCCCTTGACATTCCATCCATAACATATAAAACTTCTTTGAATACTCGACTCCCTGTTTCACCAGAGTGTTGAAAACGTTCTAGAATTAATCTATTTGGGACATCGTGAGCAAGGACATACACAAATATGCCCACTTTTTCTATAATTGACATTCTTAACGATGGTTTTAATCCATACCTGCTTTCTAAATCTGCGCATAATTCCATAAATAAAGGAGGGTACATTCTAAGAGCATTAACATAACGTGTTTCATGACCGTTAAGTAACTCAATCATCCACATTTGGCCGGTTAAATACGAGGTCATACAAGGTTCCTTATATATATGGTTCAAATAATACTTTGTAATGTAACCTGCGTTGCAAGCAATCAAATCCCAAAAATTATCCTCTTCATCTAAGTACTCTTTGCATAAGAAGAGCATTTTAAGTTGCATATTATAATCCATGCCTACTAACAAACAAGTTTAATTTCAAAATCAATTACATAACATAACTAATATTAGTATGATATATATAAGATTTAAACTTACAAAACAAGGATGAATTTCAATCATCCAACAAAAGTAGCAAAAGTAATCCCATTAACACCCATATAATTTTTCTCTAAAACATATATAAGGGTTGGGGATGCGTACAACATTTCCTATTTTTTTTGTTTTACGATGAGATATATATAAATTATGGGCTTAAAGAGCCATTTTAGAGCAAGTTCTAACAAACAAAAGCTGGCATAAAACTCCAAAAGTGCATATGGTAACATTCTTAATTTAATTCAAAAGTTACCATATGCAATTCTAAGTAGTTAGTAAAGTCAGTAGCACATATCACTTGTGTCCCACATTTTGTGCATACATAAACCTTATGTATTCAAGTCTTTTCTTATCATCCGGAAATTCTAAAGATTATCCTTCTTTGTAGATCTTCAATGAGTTTACAAGCATAGTGAAATTCAGGAGAACTGGAATCAAAATCATCCATGGAACACAACTTAACCATAGCATCTGCCACACTATATTTTGGTGTTGCAACATTCATAGAATTCATCATATTCACCATAGCAGTTTGAAACACTTTTGTGGAACTATTCCTCTCAGCAATTATTTCCATCATTCCATCAATTTTATCGCTAAGGGCAGCACTCCTTCGAGATTTTTTATTTTATTCAGACCTTGCACTTTTGTTACTTTGAAAGGAACCACTCTCTATTACCCTTTTCCCTTTTCCTTAATCATTATCTCATTAGGGGTGGATATGGGGTTAGGGGATGAAGGGCTTTGTTCCCTCCACATTGCATCCCATTCATTTCCCAAATTAGAACCTACTTCATCATAATCATTAACATAAGGAGAATGAGCGTGACGAGAACTAATGGGTGGAGAAGGAACATATGCTTCATCATCTATTGTAGGAGGATCGACCACTAGAGTAAACTTTTCGGCTCCTTGGGCACATCCCCCAAAAACTTGGTCCATTTTGTATTCAAGCTCAGGTTCGATTCCTTCATCACGAAAGATTTCAAATTTTGCATTTTCCTATCAAAAAAAGAATGAGTTAAAATTTTTCTTACCTTCCCCCCATCTTGTTAATCATTAAACAACACTCTTATGATAACATTAAAAAACTAACCTTTATTTTTAAAGCCCACCACTCATCACTTGCGGCAACCGTTCCTTTTTCATGATCCCACCCTAAGTCGGTTTCCTTCGATTTCAATTGTTTCCAAAGTATCCATTTAGGCCTCATTCCATCCAATTTGTTTTTAAGCCGACCTTTATCCCATGCTAAGTTTGTGGTATTTTCCCAATTTTCTACCACTTTTTTCCACAATAACTTTTGTGAAGTAATAGCACCATTTTTTCCTTTACTCCACAATGTGTTTTTAATACAAAGATAAAAAAAAAAGTATGTGGATTAATTCATTGGACCAAGTTATTCGATTTACATTCACCAATTCTTGGATTTCTCCGTCATTTATCTTCTCCCCTATGTGATTACTTTTGTTTTTCTTTGGGGCCATCTAACATAAGTAAGTAAAAACATCATTACACAACTATTTCAGCTCATATACTACATAGCAAAATGAAACACCAAATTGTGATACGAAAGATGTAAATAACAATTACATACAACAAGATAATTAAAGTATAGAATAGAAAGTTTAAAACTCAAACTCTTAAAATTAAATACTCACAGAGACAGGACATATGAAAGATGTAAATTGCAAATTCTTTCCTAAAAAAGCTCAAATTGTAACAACACCATCAGTTATCAAATACATGTTTTTTTTTCTAAAAAAAAACTAATATTTCTATTATGTAGTAATTAGGAGATTAATTAAGCAAACCACCAATCATACTTATATATATGAAAAAAAAATCCACAATATTAAACAATTTTGTTATACTATTATAAATTCAATGTTATAATATATGTTAGCAACTACTGTACAAATTAATTTTGTATATTAAATTTTGGGTGAAAAAGGGTGATAGTAGTAACTCTGGGGAGCAAACACTAATAAAGACGTCATTTTGCTTTCTCTTCATTTTTCTCATGCATTAAGCTAGTTGGGATCTCACTTTTTTGATGAGATTGGATTATTTTTTTTAATTTTTTTTATATAAAAAAAAAATCAGAACCCATACATCTACAAATTGAGATCTCAGCAATTTTGTTTAAACTAACCAATAAGTCTTCTTATTTATGCTAATCCTTTTCTAATTAAAAGAAAATTGAAGAGCTTCATGGTAAATTCTACATCAAATTAAACCAAATTAAATGGGCATTTTTCTACAGATTTAAAAAAACTTAATAACCAAAAAAAAAAAAAAAAAATCAAAGTTACCGAATAATGTAATCATGCAGTTGCCGAAACTTGATTATGAATTTATGCTTCACTGCTTTCGCCGCTCCACATTCACCTGAACTTCTCCCAAATTGTCTCTGTAGTGTATTAGTAGTATACTAGGTTAGGTCCCGTGCCATGCACAATAATTTTCAATAACTACTCTATAATTATTAACACTATATTTAATTATAAAAAAAATCTATTTAAGTTACTACTTTGTAAAATGAATTAATTATGAAAGAGTCTATTATTAGCAAAATAGATAATTTAAAATACACATATATGTATATTTATATATATTTCACTAACTAATTTATATCATTTCTTCTTTTAACCAAATGAATATCTTTCAACTATGTATCTAATTCGTAAATAGATTTACTTTTTACACACTATTAATCCATTCCCTCTTACGCGGTATTTATTTTTCTTCTCAATAATCAACTAGCTTAGAAAAAAATTCATATCTTTCTTAGCAAGCTTTTCAAACATAATTAAATACACAAATATTTTTTTAAAAAATAATCCTTGTTGTAAAATGGTTAGAGTAGTATATAGCACTATGTATGTCACAAATTATGTTAAGAAATTGATTTTCTTTTTTTTTTTAACTTTAGCTTATGGTATCAATATATAGAGTGGAAGGATACATTAAATATTTTTAATCTTCTATTTATATATAAGATTTGTTTCCTAAATAGTTTTTTTTTTTTTTTGACACACCAGAAAATTATACGTGTCATTGCTGGTGTGTCTTTTAGTATATTATTGATTGGGGTTTTTTTGTTTTAGGAGAGAGAAAGGTAATTGATAAGAATGGTAATAGGTGTTAATCAGGATAAAATTATAATAGTTATCATTTAAACCAAAAGCCAACCCAAAAAAGCTACTCTCACTAGCTTTTGGCTTGGTGGGAAAGCTGGCTTTTTAGCCAACCAAAGAGCCAATTAACCAAACATAAAAAGTTGTTCGCCAAACAATCTCAATGTCATAATCTACAACCCTGTTAGCTTCCCGATTATTAAATCCGATCCAATATAAACCCGGTAATCCTCGAGGACACAAATTTATTGTTGAAAGTTGGAAGTATATCTGGAATTTTGAGCACCAACCAAATAAAACAGAACTTTGTAGAACAACACCAATGACATCACAACTGACTATCACTCATACGCCATAACCGCCACCTTAACCACCTATCTAATTAATTCTAACCCAAATATTTAAACAACTTAAAATAAGTAAAACAACAAGCACTATATATTGTAGGAAAATTCAATTCAATTCTCAAATTTCTCATTTCTCAGTTTTCTGATTACCTTTAGAATTATCGACGTCTCAATCTTCAGTCTCACCGACTTTAATTCTACAGGTATCTGCTCCTTCACTCTCAATTATCTCATTTCTATTCCGAAATTCCAATCTTTTTTCTCAAAAATGATGATCATTGAATAAATTGTGATTTCTGCTGTTTAAAATTTGATTTTGCGGTTAATTATGGGCAATTTAATTGTTGTTCTGCAGTTGGGTATTTTTAATTTTGTCTTTTTCATCTGTTTCAATTTCTTTTATGTTTTGTGGGTATGATTGTTTAGTGGGTTTCATTTCGTAATTTGAAATGGGTGATTTTGGGTGTCTTCTTGTGCAAGGTTTCTTGAATTATGAACCTTTGAGATTGCAATTTGTGGGGGTATTAAGGGAATTAGGGATTTTGAGAGTTTGAGTTTATTTGGGATTCCTATGAACTGTTGATTTGTTTTGTAGTCTATAAATGGAAGTATAGAACTATAGGTTGGGGAGGTACCTTCTTGGTGCTAGGAACTGTGTGCATGGTACACCCAGGTGTATAATCGACTTCGTCTCAATTTGTCATAGTAAACCATAATGAGTAGACACCTGGTTTGTTTATAGTTGTTTGTAGGTAGAAATTAGTTCCGTGCTTGAATTGATATATGTAGAAGTAAAACAAGGGTTACGCAATTCTAATGCGGTCTTGCCCATGGGGTGGCACTTTGCCGATCCCTTTTCCTCTGTGAATTTGTGCTGCCGTTTTCCCATGCTTTACTTGTACATAGCATAATGTTAGGCTTTTACAGTCCTGTTAGAATGCTAGTAAGCTTTCAGTTCCTGTAAAGCATGCACTGATAAGAGCGGTTGAAACGATCAATTGCACCTGATAAGCAACCCAATTGCATTTATTTGTCTTGAACTTTGGTGTTTCCTCCATGTGCTTGGTGCAAGTATTGAAAACTTGTTTGCCTTACATGCTGGACTGCAGGAATATAGAGGAGAACTGTGGCAGTTGCATTAATTCTAGCCACAAGTTATTGGATTTATGTAATTTTATGTACTGCCATTTATAACCAGAAGATACCAACTATTAGATGGCACATCTTGGAGTCAAAGCCCTTGCAGTCATGCCTAATGAGTGAATGACAGATTTGTCAGTGTGGTTAATTTCTATCTCGTACCCCTCATTAAGTACACATAGCATGTAAAAAGGAAACCAGGGACATGATGGAAAATGAGGTTTAAATTGATGGGAAGTTTGTTTTATATTGATGGAATCGATTAACTCCAGGCTTTGTTGTTGATATATTGAGAACTGGTTAATTTGTTGTCCTTGTTCCATTATAGATGGGGATATATTGACATTGGTGTTGGATATATCGACATTGGTGTTAAATGGATCATGTTTTCTTGATTTTGTATTGAAAGAAACCAAATATCATTCAGCGCAGCGTGTTGGCTGTCTGAAAAATAGGACTGCTTGCTGGTTTATCATACATGCACTTCAAAGTATTCTTAGTGCTTAACTACTTTTATTTTTTTCTTGATCAAGTGTCTGTCATAGGAAGCTTTGTTCACTGACTTACTATTCCATCTCCTTACAGAAAACTATGGTGCAGCATCAAAATGTTATTACTGTTCCTTTTATATGGAGGGGAAAGAAGTTTGAGGTAAAAATAAATTCAGAGGCCTCTCTCAAGGAGTTGGGGGAGGAACTGCAGACTTTGACTGATGTTAAAGCTGATACAATTAGATTGATTATTTCTCTGCCTTCCACCAAAAGCTCAAAATTGTTGATGCCTTTCTCTGACGAGCATTCCAGTCTAAGGCTACAAGATACTGGAATCGTAGAGGTCTATACTCACATCTTGATTCTTATACCTTTATTCATACAACTATACAAGTGTATAGATAATTTCTTGTCTTAGATAGATATATTAATTTATGTTGTTTAATATGTCAATTATGGCTAATTGGTGATGTCTGGAATATTAGTGCTTAGACTGGCTCCTTCACCTTTTATAAATTTCAGTATTCTCCTTTTTGTTGAAGTTTAATATTAATTGATTACTTTATTTGCAATTCTTTTTTTTTTTCATTCTCTTCTCATCACATGGGCCCCTTTTTTTTAATTTTCTATATCCCTCTCCTCATCCCATGAGCTCCTTAAATACTGTTCATCCCCTACATGTTGCAATGATAAAAGATTAGAGGAAGTATTTTCTTTCATGGATGAAGCATTGGTGCAAAATATTTTGAGCAGGACTTGGACTCATATGTATATTTGCTGTCAGGGGAAGCCTTTAAGAATGATGGGAGTCTCCAAGGATGAGATTGATCATGTTCTTAACGATGCCGAAGCAAACCTAAGAATTGCTGGATTTGAAGAAGAGGAAAAGAGGATGAAACAACGGATGTCCAGGGGATCCCATTCCTCATTGAAACTCCCGCAAGGACCTTACATCTTCTGCAATTTTCGTACACTTGAACTGCCTGGAGTTGAGGTATTTATTTTTTCCTATACTATCTTGTTTCGTGCAGATAAAGTATCGGTAGTTACAGACTTTAAGTTAAAAAAACAACTTTCAATGGTCAAACAGCAAAAGTCGTCTTAAATGCAAAGAAGTATATAATGAATATCTTTTGAGGAACTTCAAATATGTCTTATTTCCGTTTTTTCTTTTACTAGTTATATCCTCCTCCCTCAGAGGCTATGAAGAGAATGCATATGCTTGCAGCTGACCCAGGAATTGTTGCCATCATGAACAAGGTAGTGATTTAGTGATGAGGTTAGATTTTTGCTAATGCTCTCATCTTTTTGGACTTTATTTTCACATGTGATTGTGATTCCTTGAAGTATCGTTGGCGAGTGGGGATCATGACAGAGATGGCGCCTGTTGGTTATGTTGGTGTTAGCCCCAGATGTGTTCTTGGTTTAAACAAGGTATATGAACACCTCAACTAATTTATTATGTGTTGATAATTGATCATCAAACAGTCTTGGCTTTTGTTAGCTTGTGTCTTTCTTTTGTTTCTAATGTGTTGCTTATTTGATTGCAGAATCAAGGAGAGGAAATATCTCTTCGTCTACGCACTGATGATCTAAAGGGTTTCAGAAAATATCAAAGCATCAAGAAAACTTTGTTGCACGAACTTGTAAGCACTCTTCTCATGAATTATTACTTCATTGATAAAAAATTTATAATTTTAAAATTTGCAGTAATTACCGTTTTCTGAACACTTTATTCAATCCTGCAAGTAGACATAGAGGTTGCAGTAATTACCGTTTTCTGAACACTTTCTTTTCTCATATACGTCAGTATTATATTTTGGATTCACTGCTGTAAGAATTGAAGAAGCTTTTCTAGGATTAAATTTTTTTCTCCATGTCATTAATTTTTTTTTTTTTTGAAAGGATGCATAAGCTCTAATGATTTATTTGTTATATTTTGTCAATTTTCTTTCAATGGTAAAGAACTAGTGGTTCTAATATTGTTAATATTAGAGCTCCTTAATAAGATCTTAGATTTGAAGGACATGTGTTCTACTTAGCTTGTTTTAAGGGATATTTTGCTTGGTGATAAAGTAGGGGTGATCTAGGTCTTCTTTATCATCTGCTTAAGGGTAAGAGACTTTATCTCTTAGATTCTTTGTTTGCCGCCTTCTTTATCAACCTCTTGAGAATACTCAGCTTATTTGAATGGTGGCTGGCAAGGTATGCAGATATTTGATTAACCCATTCTCTTTTTACTTTATGATTGGGCTAAGGAGGTCTTTAGCTTGGTGAAGAATATAGGTGATAAGGTTGTCTGACTTGCCTCGTCAATTATCAGTTATATGTGGGTGTAATGTTTTCTTTGGTTCCTACACACTTTTGTTTCTAAAACATGTGGATTATTCATCTATATGAAGTTGATAGAATTTGCTCCCTTCCTAAAGAAATACGTTTGATATCCTATATGGTAAAGATAGAAAATGTTTATCCAAAAGTTGAAATTTGAAAGATTAGCTTAAGTATTGGTACAAAAGGTCTTTGGATTTTGGAGATATTACAGCCTTGAGAAGCGATGACAGTGACTGGTGGCCTGGAAAGAAAAACTTATTGACTATTTAAGAACTGTGATTGTATTAACTTTGTAAGTATTTAGTAGAGTTGTATTGCAGAAAGGAGATTGAATTAAAAATTGAAAGCAAGGACAATGTTAACTCTTTTTCAAGTTAGTCAATGTTAGGAGGAAGACTGAGCTTCATATATTAATTGAAGGTGATAGAATGGCTGTTAGACACCAAGATATTTTTGTTTTAGAGACCATGTCTTTCTTTGAAGGTTTTTTTATTGAGGTAAAGGAAGCTAATGGTGGAGGGGCTTTAGTAGTTCTCCTACTATGTTGTCAATAACACTTGATAAGAAACCTTTGAGTAGGAGATTTATACTTTATCTTTATTGTAGTGGGCAATAAGTTACCATAGTTTTACTTAAATTTCAGATTAGGAGTCACCATTGATTAATAGTTTTCCTTTAGTGTAGAGTCTAGAGAGTGAGGATTGATTTACTCAAGGTCTTTCATAACTCTTTGTGATTGGGATTGTGGGCAGAAGTGCATGGAACCATCTTTTTCATTACTCTTGTATTGTCTCTAATTAGATGTCTTCAGAGTTTTGGGATCTTAGGCCTATTAGTTTCCTCACTGCTGTTTATGATAGGCTCTTTAGTGTGAAATTTATTTAATTGTTTTCAGGTGATCATTTCAATTGACCTAGAGTCTGTTTGTGACAGTTGGATATATTTTGGAAATTCATAATGTAATTTTTTAAATATCGTGATTGACTGATTGTAGTGTTAGATGTCTATATGAGTTTAGAGTTATAAGGTTAAGTTACACTTCAAGAAAGCCTATAATATGATGAATCAATGCTTCTTAGATGATGTAAACCTTTTGGTTTATATGTAGAAAATTAGTACATGGTGCTTGTCGTGGGTTAGCTTTTTGGTCTTTGGAAATAGGCAGTCTTGAAGTTCATTTGGGGCTATGAAGGGGTTAAAGTATGATGTTCCCCTTTTGTTCTTTTCACTTTATTTGTTGATACATAGAGACAACATTCTTTGGGTTTTATATAGCCTTACTACGTAGAGGTGGATTATTTTATTTATGCAATGGATGTCAATGGCTTTTTCCTCATAAGTTAAAATACACCTATACTATTTTCTGCTTTCCTAAGGTATTTATCTCAAGACCTTCCATTTGCCTTCTTAGGAGTCTCTTCGGCTATAACAGTACTTCATAGAACATTCTACTGAAATAGTTTGTTGGTGCAAAGACCTCAATTATTCTGCCTAAAGGCGTAAGCCTGGGTTGGCAAGCTCATGATCAATTGGAGTTTGCTGGGCCTTGAAGGCTTGGCTTCATATTAGGCTCTATTTCTGCAATTTAGTCCAATATTTTGAGTACATGTACAAGAAACCATTTGTTTAGTAATCACAGGTGCAGACATTGGATTGTTTTGGCCTTCCATATTGAGCTTTAGCTGCAGTAGTCTTTTTTGAAGTGTGGCTTTTCTGATGTTTTTTATTTTTTTATTTTTTTTTATTGTGCAATGTCTCCTTTAACTATGATCAATGCGTCAGTAAGAAGAATTTTTCCACTGCAACTTTTGCATGTGTAGTTTGAATTGGAGTTGCATACTTGCTGTCTTACCTAATGCACGGAACTTAGTTGTTACTGTGTTTTACATGTTACAGGCTCATATGGTCTACTCTGAACATGATGCAAACTTTTATGCTCTTGATAGACAGGTAAATTCTTTCTTCAATGCATTTTATATATATGCTGAATTGGTGGTCCTCTACAGCTTCCGCATAAGATATTTGTTCTTGCAAAAATTTAATTTCTGCAGCTGAATCAAGAAGCTTTCGCTTTAGACTGGACAAAATCAAGGAGTCATACCTTGGCTGATTCTCGATTTTCTGGGCATGATGATATGGATGTGGACTTTGATTTGGATAGCAATTTGCCTCACAAGCTTGGAGGAGAAGCTTCTCTTATGTCTGCTGGTGCTCGTGTGGCTTCTGTGGCTGCCGCCTTACATCGTTTGACAGATTCTTCTTCCATTTCTCATGGATCTGCAAATGGGCAGCAAAATTCTAATGATTATACAGGTGATGATGCTCCTGGGCTCTCAAGCCCAGTTGATACCTTGAATGAGGAAGAGCTGTTTATTTGGAATCAACATGATGATTATTCTCATCAAGATGAGCTGGAACTTGATCCTGATGATTCTGAGGCGAGAGGAACTGTGAATTCAGAGCCTTATACTGAAATGTTGTTGGTAGGGATACCTATGGTGAAGCCCAACCCTGATGATACTAGAATGGAAGCAGTTGTCTCCCAATCTACTGCAAGGAGAAGCTTTGATAATGCAAATCCACGTGAGGAGCCTGATCCTGATGATTCAGAAGTTACTGAAAAAGGAGTGGCTGCTTCTACTATTTCCCTCACGTCAATGCAGATAGATAACATTGAAAATAGGATAGTGAGGAATATTGATGAACCTGATCCAGATGATTCTGAAGCACAACATGATTTAGGGAATGTCATAACACCTAATCAATCACAACTAATCCAGGTTCATATGGAACCAGATCCAGATGATTGTCTAAAAAACATTACAGGGCAAACCCAACCTGAATCTGATGATAAAGTTGACCATCTGTTGCAACCTTTAGAACTCACGGCTGATGAGCCAGATCCAGATGATGAATTAAGGAGGATCCAAGACCCTGCCGCTGTATTTTTCAATCGGCTTAACAAAGCCATTGAGTTGCTGCGTACTGAACTGAACCCCCTGGAGGCTGTGGCAGTCCTACAGACTCTGTTTAAAATAATCAGGTAACGTCTTTTATTTGTAAGAATATCATCCATGTCCCTATAGGCCCCATATCCTTAATGTAGAACATGGGAAGGATCTTATCCAAATTAATTTATTGGTAAAAAAAGATACCGAGTGAGTCAATCAAAACTAATATTGACTCACTCGTTTTCATGCTTGCAGAGGAATTATGCTGACTGAATGATGCCTTTCATTTGCAGAAATGTATCTGAAAATCCTAATGAAATGAAGTACAAAAAACTTCGCAAGGTATGGTCCCTTCATACTGCGAATATTCTTTTTCTCTTTCCTTTTCCTTTCAGGCACTTTGAGTTTTGGTGTAATCCTTGAAAGTCATGTGTATGAACCATTGACGATTTCTCTTTTGTATAAGATAAGTGAGGCTTATGTCGATAACTTTAAGAACTTAAATTCCAGATTTTATTTCTGAGGCCCATGCATAAATATATTAAATCTAAGCATGTGATATTACAACTTCTCCCTCTAATGGAAAAACTCGAGCGGGTTTAAGTTGCCATGACCCAACATTTCTATTTGCCTCTTCTTCTTTCTCTCTTTACTCCCCTCTTTCTTCCTATCCTGTCAGTGGCCAATTGGCCATTGGTGCTGAAACATAACATTTAATAGACTTAGAGACCTTTGGATATCTGCATATGTGGTGCTTCTGCAAGTGTATATGTTGATTAATAATGTTGTCCATAAATGGGAAATAAAGGAAGTCCCTTAAATGAGCCCCATGATTTGATCTCTAGACCATAGGGATCTGAGGCAGGGAGTGATTCCACTACTACACCACCTCAATCTTCAACAGGCTACCTTTCTTGAGAGGGGGCCGGGGGGTGATTTTTATCTAAGATCATGCACTGACATTTACCCAATGTTTATGTAAACAGTTTTTTATTGCTTTCTGAACATCATCAGAAAGGAAGGTCCGATGCAAACTGTTGTCACTGGACTGAAAAACTAGCAATGCAAAATTACGACAGATTAGAGATATAAAATCACCCAGCCTCCACCCAATAAAATTGTTAAACTAGTTTGGATTGTAATACTTTGAATCCAATTATTTAACCATCTTTTTTCCTTGCCACACTCCCCCAATATTGCAGGCCAATCCTATTTTCCAAAGGAACGTTGCATATCATGAAGGTTTGTTCTCCAAAAAATTTAAATATCTTATTGGAGGTTATGTCCATCTATTGAAAGATTCCATGTCATGGATTGTTATTGATCAAATTGGCCTGGCTTCCCAATGAAGTTTATAATGAATTGTTTGTCTGTTAATCTTAAAATTTGAATTGGTAATTGTCTTGGATACAGCTGCCATGGAAGTTCTCAAACTGGTTGGTTTCAGTGAAGAAGTTGTCACTGATGAAGTGGGAAAGGCTGAAAATTACTTGGTGTTGAAAAGGAATGATCCAGGTTTGCTGTGGCTTGCGAAATCCTCTCTTGAGAGTAGCATTGCTAAGTAATTGTTGAGCGCCGTGCCTACATGTATACATCAGCATTTGTAACAAGTTCCAAAACATACTGGCAAGTGTTTGTGCAAATATCCTGCTTGCATGTTCTTGTACATTTGATCTATTAACAAGCAAAGCTATATGTACCTGTAATTTTTTCACTATTGATTTCTCATATAGTTGCTTGTCCGCTATCAGAGTTTCTTCTGAGTCTATTGTAACTGATGCAACACTATGGAGTATGTAAGATGCCTAAGTCTTTTAATAAAAGATAACTATTTGGTTGGTGACTTTGGTATACTTCATATATGTTTGAATCATTTACTTATTATTGTGTTGAATTTGAATACAGACCGAGGATAGCCTTACAACCCTTTTGTAAACTGATACAAAGTTATGGTGTCCAACATGCTACAACATTGTTTTGTGTTGGAGCTCTTTTATCTTTTGTTTGAGGAGATAGTCCTTGATCTCTCAGTTTGGTGATGATACATCTCTTGAATTTTAGGATGGAGCATTGACTGAACTTCTAAGAAGCGAGCAAGGGTCAAGGTCCTGTTAAACTTACAATCAAGAGTTTAAACCCTGGTTCCTTTTTTTCTATTAAGTTCTTCCATTCAGGTTGGAGCTCTTCTTGCAGTTGTGGAGGATCGAACTTCCAGTTCATCAAGATGTTTCAAATTTCATATGCTTATGTATGATAGCGACAGTGACTGAAGATGCTAATGATTTTGTGTCGGCTTTTACAAATACACAAAACTGCTGTCGTATACCAAAATTGTATCAGAATGTAATGCAGGGAACAATCTGGGGCAATGATGAAATGCTGTGTTGACAGTAACTCGTTTCTAGATGCACACCAAGCACATTCCATGCGATAAGTCGATCAAAGCTTGTGTCGAATGGCCTTCCCTCCATACAAAATTCTTACAGCCTTTTAGGAAGCATTGCTTTAAAACTATGAATATGTATCAACTAGGGATGTAGTATAATTTTTTTCATTGCTACATGAGATGTGAATAAAGCTGATTACTTACGAAACATTGAAACTATCAGAATGCATAAAATGAGCGTCAATCACGATCGGTTCTCTTGAACATTCTTCACCTTTTTTATTAGTTGTATGGTAAAAGCGTTAATTTGCATCAAATCTTTCACGGTAATTCAGATCTCAGATAATGAAATTTGCAATGTGTGTCTAACAAGTATATCGTCTTTAATTCCCAAAGATGCTGGTTGTCTGAATAGGAGCTTTATGCTTTCACACATGAAACCGAGAACATTGAATATTAGGTTGATATTTGTACACCATTAAGCTCAAGAAGAGCTACCGATGTCGGTGTTGGATCAGTAGAAGACTTGGTGTCTGCTATGGTTTAGGTGAACTTTTTAGCATGATGTTGTACATTGACCACTACAGATTTGGTTAAACAAGAGAATGTCTCTCATATCAGCGATACAAAGTGTGTCAAATTACATTAGGTAAAGGCCAAAGGCAGAATATTGTAAGCTAGTAAAGTTTGTACAATCATGGAGTGTCTTTTGGGCCAAAAAAAAAACCCTCAATTCCTCCATAGTTTATGTTAAGTGAGCTTGCATATACTAAATGATAGTATCCATATGGAACTCAATGGCTCAATGCTCATGTTCATCTCCTCTAGTCCAGTAGAATGGGGGATCAGCACCTATTTTTGAATAATTATACTTGTACTAATTGGATGTCCTATCATACAAATGTTAAATATACAAGCACCACAATGTTAAAGGAATGAAAATAACCTTTTCAGACATTGGTAATATCTATATAATATTAGGGCATCAGTGAACCAATCACAAGCTTTACACCAGGAGGTTTCGACATCAAACAACGCCAACAAAAAAGGGGTAGCAAATGTAAGAAAACATCAAAATGTATTTGATGTACTGAATGAAGCTTTTGTATCACAAAAAAAAAAGTTCTAGAAAGGTAAACCTAGCTCTGGCATCAAGGACCACCCATTGAAACATCACTGACACTGGAATTGGCTTGATTCATACCCTGACCAGCTCCAAAGGCAAATTGTTGAGTAGGAACTTCTAAAGGACGGTCAAAGATAGAGGAACCAGTTCCTGTGTTGAAAGCTGGTATAGGAACTGCATCATTCTTTGCAAACCCAAAGCTGAAAGACTCGGCTGGAACTGTATTCTCATTAGACCCAAATACCTTGTGCTCGTACTCTTGCAATTGCTGCGAAATAGCTAAATAAACAATTAAAAAAACATGTCAGTATTGTAACACCACATGTTGTAAAGACCATCTCCTATAGACCTAGCATTGACCCATACCTGAATAGTAAACGAAATTACATGACCTGATTTAGACCCAACCCAACCCAATAAGTTAGGTGACCAGAGACCCACCCAATAGACCAGACTCAACCCAACCAGAATCTACAACAAATTAATCATCACCTGAACCAGATTATTATGGCAGGTCAACCATATAATGCATATTATCAGCACAAAGCATTAAACTACAGACCACGCATACGTGTGCAATGTACGTACAAAACCAAACTGCCTCATAATAACAATCATCCCTAAAATATAAAAGAAAAGGCGCACTTTAAGAAATGAGGGTAGATGTTCAATGGTTTCAGATTAAAAACGCATACTGAGTTGCAGACTAAAAACTCATTGACAATGAATTCTTTATTCCACATTTATATAGAACTTACTTTCAGCGGTCCAGTACAGCGTATTATAAAAATTAACTGAAGTGTGGGAGGCCACAGGGAGCTAAAATGAACTAATAAATAAATAAGTAGCTCATACGCTGTTCAAGTACAAAAACGTAATACTGTCAATAGAAAATAGCAAAACAATAAACCAGGATATGCACTAACCTTCAGTAAGCTCAACAGATGACCTCCGCTCTTTCACCCATTGGTAACTCTGTGCAAGCCTCCAGCCTTTGCATTTCATCAAGTAAGCAATAACTACAGCGGGTGACCTGCAATATGAGAAACTTCACAATCTAGTATCCGAATCAAAAATTAGGAACGCATATATGTGCATAGCACGTGTAATGAAATGGGGAGACAAAGGGGTTGCGTTCATTCGGAACCAATAGGGGTGAGAACGTCCATGATTTTTCAGTCCTTATATACAGATATAATAAATCAGCCTAGAATACAAATAGAAGTCATTGGCATGCTACAAAGTTAAATTGATTAACATAAAAAAGAGGATTGACACCTCGTCAGCCTCTAAAATTTTATTTGGATATCAGCTCCAGGTACAAACAGAGGAACTGAGAGACCGAACTGATGACCAGAACTTTTATTGCAAGTTACCACAATTTTCATAAATCTTATTGTTCATATTCTTATTCATCAAATGCTCTTATTGATAATTTCTAGTGCAGTATGGCAGGCATAGGCAAACAGGGTTAATACAATCTTAGTACAATACTACAAGTTCTGAAAACCCACCTACTCTTTCCCGTCATGCAATGTACAAGAACACGACCCTTCTCCCTTTCACATTGTTCTGCCAGATAAACAGAATAATTAGCTTTCATTACATGCAATTCAACAAGAGTATATTAACACTATTAAAAATATAAAATAAAAAAAGAAAAGGAAATTAAAAAGACACATTCAGATGTGAGCAACATAGTATATCATGGCCATCTACATTCACCATTCAAAACATATGCTCCAAATCAATCCCAAGAAGAAACAACTACTAAGAATTAGTGTCTATTCTTCTAAATCAACTAAGGAGTATCTAGTACAGCAAAAGGAAGAAGGTGTTGGGAGAAGGCCGAATGGACATGTCAGGAGAAATTTACTAGAATCACAATAAGAAAAGAAACAAGTCAATAAGCAAAACTTGTGACACATTAACACCCTGAGAAGATACATAATTTAGGGTAGAAGCCAAACATTCTCCAGTCTCCAGTAACATGTAATCACTTTCACTAGTTGAAGTCCCTAGGAAACATGGAAATTGCTTAAAAAATAACTTTCCATCAGTGTGAACAATTCATATTTTTTTAACACAAGAAATGAAAGACTCCTAAATAAGAGCGCTCATGTGCCACATGGTTAAGAACACTTTTTAAAACAACCTCCTTATCTAAATGATCTTAACACTTTTCAAATTTCAATATGGTCAATTTCTTAAAGTTCTTAACACTTTCCTTTTATTTCATTTTTGGCAAACCCCCTAACCCCCCTCTTACCCACAATACCACTCTTATTTTATCCACATTTTTTCTTACACCATCCACTTTTCTACACTCCGATTCTTATTTTAACCACCTTAATTACACCCCACCCACCCACTCATATTTTCTAAATATTTGTGCAAAAATATCAAATGGAAATGGAGGAAGTATATAGTATAGATTAAACCTAAACTATTTAACTTTCCATCAGTGCGAACCACCATTTACTCTCTTAAGGTTGAACATCAATCCACAATGAACATCAAAAGGGTTCAAGTAACTTACCCTGAACCATGCATAACTTTCCAACCACTTACTGCAGTAAAGATAGCCATATGATCTGTCCAAACTATAATCATATCAAGGTTATATAGTACATAGTTGATAAAGAATTTGAACTTTGACAGGAAAATCACCTAAGGAGTAGACAGACAGTTCCCATATTCCTGATGTTGAGTTTTATCAAGAGTGCAAGGATAATGGACAGGTGGACAAATCAGGCTATAGACTTCCAAATTTCAAAGGCAGCTTCTATAATTTTTCTTTTTGATAGACAACATTGCTTAATTGTTATTATTTGAAAGGTCGCCATAGGGGTGCCTGCCAACCCACTATTGATGGCCATCTAGGGTTCAAAGAAAATCATGTTCCTAAGCCAATTAAATTTCTTAAGCAAAAAAATAAAACGTACAGACAATAATTAGAGCACTCAATCTATGGAATCAAGCTTGATCCTCAAAGAAAATTCAAAGAAAGGTGGATGTTGCCAGCCTTGCCGCTAAGGTACTTCACGCCAAATATATAAGACCTTGAATTAATAATATATAAATGCTTGGCCTAATTCCTCTCATATACGCAAGCGGCCAAGTAGTCAAAAGAACTAGATTCTGAATTCCTCTTCGCACTTTCACAGTCACGGAAACATCTTTCGCTTGGCCGGTTGGAACCTCACTTAAGTGCCACAAAGAAAACACATAAATATAGAAAACTCTTTCTTTGAGTTCATCATCTGCAGGGATCTTTTCCTTCACAGCTACCCAAAAGAAACATCTTCATAAGGATCTTTCAACCTCCAAATAATCTCA